GAGACAGAGTTGTGACTTGAGACTTGACGACATTGGATCCAGACTTGACATTTGGGATTCAGACATTTCGACGAGGGACTATTTGGGCTTGTGCCGAAGACTTGGTGTTGACGACATTCCCATCTTCCCCCTCCTCTTCGTCTATCCCCTTCCCCTTCGTCTGTGTATGGTATGGGCTGGCGCAGTCTTCCCGTGTGAAGCGCCAGACCCATTTCACACCATGTAACGATGATGATGATGTATGTTCAGGGCTGCATTACAACATTGATTGTTCGGATCACTGGTATCTAAGTCTTCCGTTGTGCTATCTTATACTTTGTATTGAAAGGTCGGTTCTTGTTCTGGTCTGCACGTTACAGTATGCAACACTGTCTCTCTCTCTCTCCCCCTTATCCAGGCTCCGCTCTTCTTCCCCTCCTTTTCCCCTTCCCTCTCTTCTCAGCGTCTCACAGTATGTCTCTCTAACCAGCGCTACCTGTCTTGTTCCTGAGATTAGCCCTCCTCCACCCACCTCGACCCTCTCCCTCTCATTTTCCCCCCGGGGTTAAACCAGTGACAAGGAAGCAAAGATGAAGATTTTGTGGTTATCAGTGATGAAATGTTTGGAAGGTGCCTCAGCAGTTGTTCATGTACCTGATCCAGTGACCTTGGATGGGGTGATGCTGGATCTGACCTCCTCTGGCGATGTCGTGAATGCCGCAAGAAATCCATCCAGATCACTGAATATTCGTGGCATGCAAAAGTGTAGCAGGGCCCAGAGCTCTGTTAGGTTGTTTTGCACAGGTGTTCCTGTCAGTAGCAGTCGGCGTGGGATCATATACTGCGTCATCAGTGCTTGGTACAGAACCTGCAAAATGGTTCCGCAAAGTCAAGGAAACCATCAGTCCCCCTTACGGATCCCACAGCTCCAAACACATCAGAGGAGAGGGAAACCAGAGTGAGTGCAGCAGCCATGTCGCAGGACAAATCTCACCAATGTTTCAAGTGACATCTTAAGTACACTCCAAAATCCAACGGATACATTCCGTTCACATTATCTTCCAAAGTCAATTGGACCACAAAACTCATCAAATGCACAAAGTGACTCCGAAGTACACTCTGACCCTCACAAGTGGAACACTCTTCTGATCACTGGGCTGCTACACACCACTGCAGCTATCCAACCCAAACCGAGCGAGGAAAGGGAATGAAGAAGAGACCAGAATTTAAGTCTCAGGTGCTACCCTTGAGAAAAAGGGAAGTTTAAACCGTTAAGAACTTAAGGCCACATTAGTCTGTTTAAAATACCATTCCTGCTCTCCTGTCCTTGACCATTGTCAAAGTGCTCTCAACCTTCCTATTCCATCACTCCCTTGTCAGTCTCTTCCTGCTCCTCCATCTCCTCCTGTCTATCTGCCACTTCTACCCCTTCTTGCGCTTCATCAGCAGTGTGTCCCTTTCCCTCTTCCTACTTGACTTTGCCCTTTTGCTCCGCAACTGACAGCCCCTGCACTCTTGCTCATGTGTGTGTGTGTGTGTGTGTGTGTGTGTGTGTGTGTGTGTGTGTGTGAGAGAGAGAGAGAGAGAGAGAGAGAGAGAGAGAGAGAGAGAGATTTGCACATTTCCGAGAAAGAAGCTAAGTGCCAAAACTTCAGCACTACAGACAGATCCATGTATATACAGACCGACAGAGCCCAGCGCAGACATAAATCAGCACTGGCCCACACCGCTGCAAGACTAAAGGTTCTTGTCTTCTTCAACCTGCAGAGCGCATGCCACAAGCTTCTGCCGGAGCCATAGTCAATAGAACAACTTCGAACATAATGCTTTAGGCTCATCCCCCCAAACAGCACATGTAGCATGCCCATCCAAACAGGGTGCAAAGCACACGAGAAATGGAAATGGCATCCAAACAGGGTGCAAAGCACACGAGAAATGGAAATGGTTTCACCTCTTTTGAGAACATAGAAAAGACATGCCCTTGACCAAAATCAGAACAGCCAAAAATCTGACCGCGACGCGCCGTAGGGGGAGTGCGCAAAGCTGCGCTAAAGCACCGTCACTGAAACGCTCGGGATTGACGGGTACCGGGCGCGCACGCCCGGGTCAACGCCATCGCGGGCAAGGGAATGCGACAAAGCGAATCCGGGACGACGCCGGCGAAGTGACGATGGGGCCTTCCGAAGGCGGGCAGCCACACATGGGGAAGAAGGGGAGGGGGTCAAACCATCGAGGCAGGACGGAAGCTCAGCGGGGAGAACGGCAGGAACAGGACAAGCCATAAAGGGGGAAGGGCAAGTGTGAGGATTGAGCCCTCAACGGGGCCTTGCCGACATGCATATGGTTTGGGTATAGGCCCCCAGCAAGCCTCGTGCCTGCCCTAAGTGAAGGCGGGCCAGAATATCCAGGAGAGACCTTCATTCAGCATTTCACAAAGTGGGTATCAGACAGTTGCCGCACGCCAGTTGGTTGGAGTGCATCGTGAGCCTCAGACTCCTGCAAAGGCAGTTGAGCCCAGGGCCTCAGTTGGTTGAGCCCTGGGCGACAGTCTGGGAGGCCGACACATCACACATTGGTCCCTGGCCTCAGAAAAGCAGTATTTCGTCGTCGAGGCCGAGGAAACCAATGGGAAACCGGTACAGGGCCTGAATATGGACAACGGCCCTAGCATAAGGGGCGCAACTGTATTACCTGGGCCCCATCTGCATTGGGCCTGGGTACAGGTACTGGGGCCCAGGCGCAGGCTCAAGGCAGACCACCCACACGCAACACTGGCATATAGGCAGAAGAGGCGAGTGGGCAGGGATCTTGGCCATTGCGAGCAAGGCCGGCACGCTGCACATTTGCGAGGTGCTGCGCTGCGCTAGGCTGAGAGAAGGCAGGCTAGCGCTAAGCGGTAGGGCGCAGCCTGGGCGCAGGGCGCTGGCAGCCATAGCCAGGCTGCATGAGGGTGCTGGAGGAGGTGAGGGCGAAGGTGGTTCTTCGGGAAGTGAAGGGCGCTGTGTGGGATAACAAGGGAGAGTGAGGGACAAGAGAGAGTGACGTACCTGGTGGAAGAGGAGGTCGGCATTGGTGTTGACGTCATCACTAGCTGGTCGTCAAGTCTTCTGGTTGCTTCCATGACTGTAGTTGTAGGATAGGCTGTAGAGTAGATAGGGCGCCTGGCGCCATTCAAGAGAGAAGGCTACTTCGGGTTATGTTGGTGGTGTTGCCCGATTGGGCTTGGACATTGACTCACGACTTTTGCTGTATCGTTCTCAAATGGATGACTGCTCGGTTCCAATGTGTTATCTGCTCTTGCTTTGACTACCTGGACTTCAGTGTGATTTGCAATTGGGATTTCTTTGCTTCGTCCACATTCATGTTCCTTGCACAAGGGAAAGGGAGGGGAAGAAGGCGGAAGGGGTACGCCGAATGAAAGAGAGGCGAACCAGCGGCAGGGGAAGTGGAGTAACAGCGGGAAGGGATAACGAAGTGGAGGAGAGGAGAGCAAGCCCCAACGAGCGGAACCAAGGCATCAATGCAGGTAACAGAGGGGAAGGTAGTAACAAGGGATACGTAAGTAGACGGAGCAGACACCAGAATTAAAACCTAGGAGGGTTTGACGAAGGGGCAGGAGATACGGGAAGAAATTTAGGTGAGATCAGTAAAAGGTGAAAGGAAAAAGAAGCGGGAGTGACGTGAAGAAAATTAAAAATTAGAAAGAAAAGGGGAGGGAACGATTGTAGGGAGACACGGGTAGAAAGGGAAGGTACGGGTGACGGGAGACGTGAGTGACGGGACTGACAGGAGACATGGGAAGGAAATTAAAAATTAAAAAGGACCAAAACAAAGGGAAGTAACAAATAAGGGAGGGAAGAGCAAAAGTGGAAGGAGCGAGTGGCTGGCTTAAGGACGAGTGGGAGGAAGGAGCAAAGGAAGTATCTATAAGGAGACAGCCAATCAGGCAATGACATACTCCGGGCCGCTCAGAGAGCCATGAACGAGAAAGAGAAAAACGAGTTCAGCCACGACCAAGCAAGTCAATCCTCTCAGGAAACCCTACAAGCTCCGGCGTCAGGAGGAGCTGTGGGGATCAAACCACAGGTGTTGGGACAGAGAGCAATGGAGTTTCTACTGGAAAAAACACAAATATCAGCACAAATCAAAGTCACGAAGGAAACCATAAAAGAAGAAGCCAAGAAAGTGGACGAAGTGGATGTGTGGGAATATCCGGAACAGGATATTCCCTCCCTCAACGAACTCTACGAACGTCATGCAGTCCTATTCAACTTCTCTGGCAAAAGCCGAGAGCTCTCACTAAACGAAAAAAGACGCTAGGTGATGGACAGGGTAAGGGCACTAGAGAATGTAAAAGGGCAAGAGCCGGAAGTCTCGTACCATAAGAGGGGCAAATTCACGGTCATGATTGTATGTGTTGACCCTAATTATGCGCAGTACCTGCTATCCCTAGGCTCACTGAAATGCAGAGGGGCGGTGGTGACAATCCAAGCATGGAAGCCTCCGCGCCCCCCGCAGGCGGAAGCATCAAGACATCGCCAGACAATGATGAGGAACCATTTCTGGGTGCAGTTCGATAATCTGTCCGAGGATATGCACAGTTTTGTTCAAAAAAGGCTGTCTGACGAGTACCCGAATAACCCCGTCATTGATTGGCTCCTGGCCAATCCGGATTTCCTGGCACCCAACCACGATTCGCGAGTGGCATGCTTGGACGTCAAGTCGGGTGCGCCGCCAAAATTCCCGGACAATGGCTCTTCCGAAAGAACGAGCAAAGAATCACGATTTTCGTTTTTCCACTAAGACAAACCCTTTTTGCTTCAAATGTAGGGGAAGAGGCCACCTCGGGTCGCAGTGCCCGCAGAGAGGTGCCGGCAGCAAGCAAACACCGCTACGGCAGTCGATGCTGGCCGAATGTGAAAACAAACCAGGAGTCTGGTACATCAACATGACCCCGTACAAGGGATGGATCTTTGACGATAACCTGGAGTCTCCTAGGCTATCCCTAGGCTCACTGAAATGCAGAGGGGCGGTGGTGACAATCCAAGCATGGAAGCCTCCGCGCCCCCCGCAGGCGGAAGCATCAAGACATTGCCAGAGGGTATGCACAATTTTGTTCAAAGAAGGTTGTCTGACGAGTACCCGAATAACCCCGTCATTAATTGGCTCCCGGCCAATCCGGATTTCCTGGCACCCAACCACGATTCGCGAGTGGCGTGCTTGGACGTCAAGTCGGGTGCGCCGCCAAAATTTCCGGAACAATGGCTCTTCCGGAAGAACGAGCAAAGAATCACGATTTTCGTTTTTCCACTAAGACAAACCCTTTTTGATTCAAATGTAGGGGAAGAGGCCACCTCGGGTCGCAGTGCCTGCAGACAGGTGTCGGCAGCAAGCAAACACCGCTAGGGCAGTTGATGCTGGCCGAATGTGAAAACAAACCAGGAGTCTGGTACATCAACACGACCCAGTACAGGGGATGGATCTTTGACGATAACCTGGAGTCTCCTAGGTGGGTGTGGGTACTAAAAAGTGCTCCAGGCGTCAAGCCAGATATATACCCACCTTTCGACAGCAGGTGGAGGCAAACAGGTGCCAGAAGAATGGAAGAAAAGGAAACAGGGTTCCTCACGAAGCCAATGTTTGATGAAACGGCAATGCAGGATGACCAGCACAGACTCCGCACCATGGAAGAACTGCACCAAGTGGGACGAACGGCGGAACAGGCGTTTCTAGAGAATTTAAGAGCTCAAGACCAGCGGCGGAACAGGCAGCAGGACCCCAAAGAAAAACCGGAGGGATCCCAAGAGCATCAAGGGGAAAACATGGACTGTGAAGAGGTAGGAGAGACGACTGATTCCACTTCCAGCT